TGTGTGTGTGTGTGTGTGTGTGTGTGTGTGTGTGTGTGTGTGGGATGTGTGCACCTAACAATTCTACAGCTATTGTTCCCCTAAAAAAAAAAGTATTCAAGGGCCAGGAGCAGTGGCTCATGCCTATAATCCCAGCACTTTGGGAGGCTGAGGTGCGAGGATTGCCCGAGCCCACGGGTTTGAGACCAGTCCAGGCAACTTGGCGAGACCACATCTCTACAATAAAAATAAAAAAATTTTTAAAAAAAGCAAGGCATGGTGGTGCACTCCTGTAGTTCCAACTACTTGGAAGGTTGAAGCAGAAGGATTGCCTCAGCTCAGCACGTCGATGCTGGGGTGGCCGTGAGTGTGCCACTGCACTCCAGTCTGGGCGACGGACTGGGACTCCCAACTAAAAAAAAAAAAAAAAGTATTCAAATAATGACTTATATGGATTTTTAGAAAATTCTATAAACTTACTCATTGGAGGCTCCATCCCTTTGGTTTTTCACATTGATATGAACTGAACTGTAGATGTTGTCAAAACCCTTGCTCAATACCATGTGAGAATCCATTCTCATTTTCCAGTAGAAATAAAAATTTAACTTTTTCTGTTCAGTGGGCCAAATTAAAAAAGAATCTTCTAACTTTGGTCTGTGGCAAGGGAACCATTAACTACTCCCGGATATGCCCCCTTCTCTTTTGGGGCATTTCACTTCTTGGGCCAAAACTGGTACCCCAGAGCCAACATTTTTTAAACAATCTAAAATTTTTCTTTTTTTTCCCTCTCTCCCCCTTATATATTAGCATTACCAAGAAGAACTCGAGTAATTATTTTCACTAACTTTTTATTATGAAAAATGTCAAACATACAAAAGTAGAAATGATCATATATAATGAACCATCATTTTAACCATCACAAAACCTCAACAATTATCAAGGCCAATCTTACTTTAAAAATGCACTTAACATCAAGCTTTATTACTCTGAGGCAAATTCCAGACATCAAAATCATTTCAACCATAAATACTTGAGAATGTAGATGAGGGCTCTTGTTTCCAATATAATCACAAAACCATTATCTCAACTAACATCAAATATCCAGTCAATGTTCAAATTATCCCAATAGTCTCATAAATGTATTCATTTTACAATTTGGCCAAATCAGGATTCAAATAAAGTTCATACAATTGGTTAATATGTCTCTTAAGTCTCGTTTAATCTACAGGTTCAACCTCCATCTTTTTATTTCATCTTTGCAATTTATTTACTGAAGAAACTGGGTCATTTGTCCTGTAGAATTTCCTGCAGTCTGGATTCTGATTTCTTTGTGGTACAAAATAATGTTTCTCTGTCCCCTGTATTTCCTATAGTTTAGAAATTATTTCTAGAGACATGACCAAATTTAGGTTCAAAATTTTGGCAAATATATATAATTTTTTTAAGAGATGGATCTTGCTATGTTGCCCAGGCTGGACTCAAACTTCTGGGTTCAAGCAATCCTCCTGTCTCAGCCTCCTGTGTAGTTGGGATACAGGCACACCCCACTGTGCCCAGTTTTGCAAACATATTTTATAGGTGGTGTAGTATACTGCCATCTGGAGGCATATGTCTGGGATGACACAGACATATGAGTAAGAATTTTTGCTTCCTAATATCTCACGGCTGCCTTGAAACAATTATATGACACCTGATATACAAAAACCACATATACACTAGACAGATTAGAAGGAGAATGCTTACCATTCAGTACCATTACAAAATATTTAAACAAAACTTCAGTGATGCCTACCATATTATAAGCAATGTCTTATATGCAAGATATGTAAACAGACAAGGGAAAGAAGTTCCTTGCATTTGAGGGCATATAATCTGGTGGGAAATACAGACACATAACCATAAAAAGTACAAGAAAAGCCAAAGGTGCCAAATTGGAATTCGGTACAGATACAGTGGCAGTGCAACAACCTAGAAAATAGTCATTGTAATAAACAGGGAAGAAGTGTCCAAAAGCATAGGATGAGCTATATCCTTGGAGTGTGAACAAGCTCACCTGTGCTTCACAATTCGATTCATCATTGGGTTCACACACTTGATTCTTCCAAAGCAAATCTCAACATCTATGCCATTCACCTAAAAAAAATCTTATTAATAGGGTTTTATTGGTTCATCAACTCCTCTAGTCAACAAATATTTATTTATTGAGGACCCACTATGGTTCATCAACCACTCCGAACTGGGAAAGTTTTCAGTGAATTTTCCAGGGCAGTTCCACTGTGAAGCCAGATGAGAGCATAAGGGAATTGTCTCAGTTATATTATACAGCTGAGAAATCAGAAAAACACTGGTAGCAGACATTTCTAATCTATGGATCCATGACAGACGTCTCCAAATTCCAGCCACTGTTGTAGGCTCTGAGGACATGGGAAGGATTCAGGCTGGGTCCTAGTGTTCAAAAAGTTAACACTCTAACAGGCCAACAGGCATTCAGAAAGATTACAATACTAGAATGATGCTGAGAATACTTATTTTGCCTGGTGTCTCCACAAAAGGAACACTGAGAAAGAAAACTGTGGCTAGCTGTTAGTACTGTAGGCTTTAAAGCAGCATTTTCACCTCCCTTTTCCAAATCAATAATTATTGAAGGAGGAATTGCTTTCTTACGATTAAACTCCACTTAAAGGCAAGTGAGAGGAGGAGTAACTCCATTCTCAGAGCCCCTTAAGCCATCTGTCCCACAAGGGCCCGCTAATGTTGCTGCTACTTTGCAAGCTCGTACAAGTTCCTGCTCTTACACACTTAAATTTTTATTGATATTTCTAAAATGTTGAAATCTTTACAACAATCATTTCAAATAAAGTCATACAATGGACTTAAAAATATTTATAGCCATCCCTTAGCCCTTCCAGGGTTACTTCTTTCAACAGTAACCTGATCAACAGAAATAGGTTTCTTAGAAAATATGAGAGACATTCAAAGCAAATTTTGTATCAAGTGTAACAAAATTACCTTTACTCCATCATGTCTTCTTCAAACTGCTTTTAGGATAAGAAAGAATAGGCACTTGTACAGTGGGGGAAGAAAATTAGCCTTTTAAGAAACATTCTGAAAAGTTTCTACTTTATGTTTGAAAGTCTTAATTACCTTAAGTACACTGTTTTTACTTGGGAGGGAATGAGCTGAAAAATTCAGCTGTATATTTTTACTGCAACTATCACATAAATAATGCATAGGTACTATGTAATGACTGTAAGAAAATCCTACAGTGCATCAGAATTTTGGAGAATGGAAGTTACAGACACCATTCGGTTTACCTCTGTATCAACAGCTTTACTCTAAAATTTTGGATTACTCTTTTAAAATGAAAGGCTATTTGGGCCCTTTCATTTAAGTTTTTTCTAGATTGAACTCTAGAAGTATATTTAACGAGAACTATCTATGTGAGTTTGAAAGTTTACTTTAAAATGTGGTGACTAAAATGTTCTGTTGTAATTTAGGAATGAAAGCCTTGGAAGTTTTACAAATTCTATAAACCGAAGGCATCTGGACCCTGAAGAAAATCCTCGCAGGTAACAGTAATCAATCCAAATGATTCCGGATAAAACAGCAGATTACAGTCCAACAATTCTTAAGAGTCAGTTACCATCAATACTTTACTTTTCACTTGTCAAATACATAGATCAAAAGGCAAAACAATATTGTGCATTATTATCTCCAAGAATGCTATGTATGAATTGAAACTCCCAGGTACTTGCCGCATTGTATAGTTTTATGCATGAAATAAAGTAATAAAGAAAAATCCATTTCTCTGCTGTTAGTGTATACTTTGAAGAACCTCAGGTTACCGAGAACATCTGTTAGTCGATTTGAATTATTGGAATAGAAAAATTCAACTTGTGGGAATTTTAAAAGTTTGTTTAAAAAATAGGAAGACATTTTTCTATAAAAAGACAGGTAAAATGTGATAATATTAGATAATTCTTCATAATTTAGAACATAAAATTATATGCTTGGTTCTTTAAAGCTATTGATTTTTTAATTCAAATCATTCCCTTGACAACATTAATTTTGTTAACTACATATACTTTATTTAGACATATTTATATATGGCAATTAACTTATTTTAAAAGCAGTGACACCAATTTTTTTAAGTAACAATATTCAGTTCTACCAGCGACTGTGTTCTTTTTAAAAGTGAATTTGTAGAATTACAGAATATTTAATTATTTTCCTCATACATTTATCATTGGTGTGCAGAATACATTTAAGATGTTATGTGATATATGGAGAAAGGTATCCCCACTCATACTATCTTCACAAAGTAGCCTTTTTCTCAATATCATGCGAGAAGATGAGTTCCAGGAAAGGAATCTAGCCTTTATACAGTGAATCCCGAAACTTCTTAATAGTGCATAACAGTGAACCAAAAAAGTTAAGTGACCCAAAATATGTACCAATAATGGTTGAGATATGAAATACTGTAGGATGCCCTAAAAATCAGGAATGACCTTTCCAGCCCAATGCCCTGTTCACAAAGTAGGCTTTCCTTCTACCTCATTTCAGACAGGGCTGGGGGAACAGAGGAAGTTCCAGAAGAGAGATTTCTGTATCCTAGATGGGATTCCTGATTTCAAGCAAGTACTGAGGCAAACGTAACAGCTTTGCATTTGGCACCCAAACAAAGGTGGTCCCACGCGACCAAGGAAATAAAAAAATGACCCTCGGTCTTGGAAAAGGATTGTTCAGGTATCCCAACAGTTTGAGACGTCGGTAGCAGCTGAAAGTCCAGAGAGCCAACTCACCCAACCGGGTGGTCTCGCCACAAGGGAGTCCATTCCTGTGGCTACCGGGAGTCAGGGAGGTCGAAGTGGGAAACCACTACATTCAAAGGTGGGCGATAACTTTCTCACAAAGGCCAGCGGATTTTGAGAAAACCGTGGTTCCGCTAGGGTGCCGGGTAAGGGGCGATGGGGGCTGGAAGTCGAGCGTGCCACATCGCATTCTAGGAATACAGTTTTTGTGACAAGACGTGTGCATCAAGACGTGTTTGGCTACCAATTCGCCAGCACTGTCTACGCTATAAGGCAACACCTTGTTACACTGCGCACAGGGCAAGTGGCCCTCGCAAGTCAGCAGCGACAAACGACCGGTTGTGAAAATGTGGTGAAACCCACACGATCTCGGTATGAACAGACAAAGACATTTCCGAAAAGGGCCAATCAGATCACATTTCTCGAGCTAGAATTCCTGTCGGGTGCACGAGACGTGCAATTTCGCCCGTTTTAAAAAATTCGAGACCGATGTGTGCAGCCCACTCCCACCACCGCAGGGATCGCTGACAGGGGCGGACGCCACAAAGGCGAGAACAACTTCAGAGAAAAATACTCCTAAGAGACGCCCACACAACCAAGCTGGTCGGACTTCACAGGCCTCCGCGACACAACGAAGCACAAGACTGGCATCGAAAATGCGCAGGCGACACTCACGCACGAGCGTGTGCGAGATGTAAGAAAGGGGCCCGAAACATGACGGGGCGCGTGCCCCCCGCCCCCCACCCCCGCGCGCGCGTGCATGCGCGCGCGCGTACACACACACACACACACACACACACACACGCACCCACGCACCCACGCACCCACACGCCCCCCACACCCCCCAAAAGCAGGGAGAGCAGTCAAGGCACCTTAAAAAAAATCGCAAGCGGCTTTGGCTCACGGAAACATCTTCCAGCGTAACCAAGAAGCGGGTGTGCAAGCGTCTGAAAAACGCGCAAATTGTCTGAAAGCAGCGCCTGGCAACGGAGACAGTTTGCAAGCGTGATTCAGAGGTCTGCCAAGGAAACAAAAGAAGCCGCCCTCCTCCCCGTGAGCCCGCACATGGCACGAGGGGTGCTCCCGGCAGGGCTGGTTTCAAGGGAGGCGGACAATCAGCAGGCTGTGCGGGAGCGAGCGGTACATACTAGGGATCGCTATCTGGCAGGGACGGGGCCATGGAGTTTCCATTGGTTGGGGAACCGCCCAGCTTTAGTTTTTCCAGGTACTCGGCATGCACGGGCTTGTGGCACTGGAGAACCTTGATGGCATCTTCGACTTTGAACCACTCTCGCTTCCTCCCAATGCTAACCGCGTCTTCCCAGTCCTCCAGCAGCTCAGTGACAGTCAGGACATACACGTACGTTCGGTGCTTGCGATCTTGGTTCTGCTCGAACACGCCCAGGAGCCGGCCTAACTTCCCCTTGACTCCCGCCTCTTCGTACACCTCTCGGACCGCCGCACCGCCCGGCTCCTCCTCGGGCTCCATGCCCCCGCCCGGCACGATCCAGCGGTCCGGGTACCGACTGCTACTCACTAACAGCACCTCGTCCTCGCGCTCGCTCCGGAAGCACAGGCACGCCGCCCGCTTCTTGAAGCCCTCCGGGTCGTAGGTCCGCGTCTGGTTCGGCTTGCACTTCATGCTCGAGGCCGCCGCCGAGCCGCCGGGGAGCTGGGAAGAGAAAGGGCCGAGGCGAGGGGCGGGGAGAGAGAGGCGCCGCTGCCCGCGAGCCCCGGAGCCCAGGCAGAGACGGGGCGGGGGCGGGG